GATTAAAAAATGATAGAGAGAATAATAGAAGCTTTTACCTAGCTAGGTGGATGAAGGACTGGTAATAAACGTGGGGCCAGCTGAGCTTTAATCAAAGTTATTATATTGGTTGCCCCTCCTAATTCCTATACCAGCAAGGCTAGTAAGCTGTATTTGGTTGGGATTGATTGCATAGTATTAAGCAAGATTACAGATCTCAGCATTATATTGGTTATACAAAGTACGTACATAGAATATAACCTAACCTCGCTCTTTATAATTGACTTAATTAATTAAGTGTACTGTTCCATCTGCTTGAATTGTTGCAAATTATTTAATCGGTCAAACAGCAAGTCACTGCCGCACGCACTATCATTTACAAAGGTGAGGGGCTGTGGGCTATCACATTATATAATTTTGATGCTCATTAATCACTTCATCACATTAAACTCACATTATTGAGAATATTTCTATTATTTGTCTAAGCTAGTTTGAGTTTGTGGGAATTAATATCTTGTTTTTTTCACACATTTTCCTATTTTATCCCTTTTCTCCTTCTCTTAGGCCACATCCAACAGTTTACACCATTTTTTACACTAAAATGGTGTAAACATCACATCAAACAGTATTTTATCTCCAACAGTTTACACAATTTTCATCACCAAAAAGGAATATTCTCTTTTTATTCTTTTTACTAACTTTTTATCATTCTTCTATTTAAGTATCTAATTATCATATATTTATACATTAGCCCCTCATTTAATATTTTGACATTTCACACATTATTTCACACATACAAACTAAAATACACCATTTTAATATGTATTTTCACGCATTTCACTAATTAAAATACAATAATCAATATTTCACTAATTATAATGGTGTTATTAATTGTAATTTTAATTATGTTATTTTCTTAAGTATCATTTGTATTCTGTTATTATGTTGTTTCGATTTGAAACTTTATTCATAATATTGTGCGATTTAAATTTTATTATATTTTTGTTATGTTCTATCAAATTAATAATTTTAATTTGTTGTTCTATATAGATATTTTTACTTGGACTGTAATTTGTCTCAGATCAGATTAGACCGGATTAGACCAGACTTGGATAGTTATAAAAATACAAAGAAATCAGACCAGACCAAATCAGTTCAGAACAGACCAGACCAAATCCGACCAGATCAGACCAACAAATTTTAGTCCAACTAAAAACATCCTAATTTGTTGTTTTAAAAATGGGTCAAAACTATAATAATCAAAACTTTGGGTCACATTTGAAATAAAAAAAAATAGAAAAAGAAGATGATGTTGGATTTGGTGTACACCATATATGGCGTAAAGCCAAAGGCATTCCACCAAAATGGTGAAATGGTGTTGAAGATGGTGTGGCTATTGGAGCATTTTTTTTGGCAAATGCACCATTTTGGTGTAGAAGTTGGTGCTTGTTGGAGATGCACTTATACTCTTACTCATTAAAGAGTTGCATTCGAAAAAAGTTTGATTTTATTACCAAACGTCATTGTGCGAACCCAGCATTTAAATCAATTCAACGGATTATCAAGATTAATTTGTAGTTTATAAATTATTAGCAATTTGTATTTCATCTCTTATTTATCATTCACATATTTATAGCTAAAGAGTTTCAACTACTCCGTACATATTTATTACTAAGACCTAAAAAATAAGCCAATGAAATACAAAAGGGTAAATGCCAAATAAATAAGGGTGAAAATTGTTTGCGCATAGGAGATAGGTTGAACATGGAGTTGCTTGTGTTAACTAATTCTCAAATATAAAAGATTTTTTTATCAATATTACTAAAATAGTTTCAAACAAATGACAAAAAAAGTGACTTGTTTTGAAAATTTTCAAGCATACGGAGTATGACTTACACTAGTGGAAAAACGCCAAATAGAGGCGCTTTTTTTGGGGCACGCGCGGCACTTTGAAGCGCTTCCAGCGAATGTGACGCAAATCCACAATGGAGGCGCTTTTTAGCCAGAAAACGCCTCTAATCTTTATTTTTTATTTAATTTAATTCGATGATCTGCGTCGCTTCTGACTGGAAAAGCGTCGCACGCGCGTTTTTTTTTTCAAACTTTGCGGCGCTTCCTTAATAACAAGCGCCTCTGATGTTCTTTTTTTGCTGGCCGATTTTTAAACGTTGTGCGGCGCTTTTGACAAAAGAAGCGCCTCCAAAGTCCACTATGAAAATAGTTTTGAAGGCGCTTGTGTTTGAAAAAGCGCCTCCAATTGTTTTTGTTTTTTTTTAATATTATTTTTTAAAACGTCATATCACCTGTTTTATTTACATAATTACATATCAATCACCAGCCAAAACTACACATTCATTCATAAATCCTGGATAACATGATACAGATAGAATCATTTCACACAAACTAAACTAGAAAAGTAGTTGAAATTTGTATCACAGTAGAAATAAATTACATTCAAGTTTGATTCATGTTCAAAATTCCACTACATATTCATAACTTCATCTACGAAAAACCTAGCCCACGCATTTCTGATATCATTAAACTCCTCCGTCGTATATGGTTCACTTCTTGAATTCCAAACCTGAAAAATGTTCATACATAAGAAGAATAGATATAAGATAAATAATGAAAAAGTAAATTATAAATAATTTAAATAATTTAATGAAATCCACCTATTGAAGTACATGTAATTAATATACCTGCCCAATATCTGCACTTCCACCATAAGTTATTACTTCTCACATAAACTTCATGACATAATACCCACATTCTGTATTGCCCGTTTGTCTTGCACACTATATATTATATGAAAAATGTAAAATATTATTTTATAATATGAATCTTTTTAAATTAAAGCATAACTTGTGTAAATAAGAGAAGATGTATGATGAAATTACCTTGACATTATGCCATTTGATTGATTTGCCACGACCTTTTTGAGTAGAAGCAACCCTATACATCCTATAATGATAACTCAATGTTTACATATATATACATGCTCAATGTTGACATACAAATATAAATGTTAAATATCACAAGTGATTAAAAATACATACATCGTGAGATCATCTTGAATAACAAAATTGGATGAACTTGGCAATGAATTGAATATATAGCCCTTATCAACCTTTGGACAAATTACAAATAAATCCAATGATACCTATATTTCACAAGAGAATATCACATATTCTAATAATCATTGGATAATCATATATTATATAACATGCATATAATTAATATCACATATTGGATTAGTGCTAAATTTGCAAATAATATAAAATATCTACCAACTAGACCAAGTATTATATAATTTTCAAATAACAATAAAAATAAATTATTATTATAATAATAATGGCATTATATGTACATATTCAACTAAATCTATGTTAACTTAAATAATACTAATCACATACACAAAATTTAACAACAAGTTCCTGTTTATTAGTTAAAAAAACTTAATCATGCCAAATGACCTGTCCCAATTCTTTAATATCTGCTCACCGCAATGCCAGGAGTAAACGACCTGTCCCAATACTTCACCACTTAGGTCAGCGTTATATTTTTAATTTAATATTTCACTTGAATGATGGTTATTTCACACCCATCCTGGCCAGTATAATTGAACATCTCCAAGTTCAGTTTCTTTGAATCAATATTTTGTTTGGAATGTGTTTGCTAAAAATCCTCAATGACATTTCTTACCTGTCTGCTCTTGGTTTTATCACATTCTGATGTTAAGAAAAAAATATGTTGATCTAGGAAACAACTAATATACTCACATATTTGGGTTTCGTAGTTTTTTTGTTATTTTAATTTTTGATGTACTAATAACAATTCGTCCCTACTTGCCGCAGTACAGAAAGTCAAATTGTCCCCTAGCTGTCAGGATCAAAATAATTTTTAGTTTTTTTGTTAATGATTCAATTTGAAAGTATATATGATAGAAGTACTTTAAGCTAATCGAGTACACTTTCAGTTTAAGCTGTCAAGATCATTAGAAATATGAATTCATTTTATTACACTTTCAGTAAATATTAGTTTAAGCACAACAAAAATCTTAAGAAGAATTTCTTGGACTTCATAGCTTGGATACATGGCAGTTTTGTTTTTTAGTCAAAAAGAGTAATTCTTAAATTTATTTCAAATAGATTTTGTTTGGATGGACTTAAGTACATAGGCAATCTGAAATGACTACTCTAGGGGCCAATTTTATTAGTCAAAATGATGAGTTTATTTTAATTAGGTTCCTTTTTAAATTCCAGAGTCCACACTTTCTTGGATCAAATGATCTATAGTATTTGGTTGAGTTTCAATTTATGGATAATGTGAAATTAATATTCCTGTATCTTGAAATTTTTGGTTGAGCCATGTCAAATAGGCAAAGAGTTCAACTAACTTAGTTATCACATTTGAACATCTCTATTTTGTGCAGAGGGTTCAACTAATATAGTTATCACATTTGAAAATTTTGTTTTATGTCCCGCTCATATTCACTTTTCAAGTGTACTAATAGTTAATTAGCATAGCAATTATCACATAGCTTATTGCTATTGAGGATAGTAGTATCTCTTCAACTTGCAATGACAATCTTGAAATACTAACTCATCATTTTGGTTTAATGCTACTTTCCTGAAATTAAAATTTAATATTGTTTACTAGGGGTGGGATCGGGTCGGGTTGGGTCGGGTTTTGGTTAGGACCGTAAAAAACCCGAAAACCTTCGGGTTCTACATTTTACGACCCGATCGGAGGACCAATGCTTTCGGGTTGGTCCGGGTTTTAAGAGTCTCGGGTTCGGGTTGGGTTCGGGTCGGGTTGGGTTGAACCCGAAAAAAATCAAAATCACAATTATGGACGGCCACATTATATACAAATTTGCACATATAGAAACACTCAACAGACAAAGTCCTTTACAACCCTCTGATTTGCACATCAAATATTTGAAACTGCATGTAATTCTAACTTCTAAGTTCTGCGTGTCAGAATACAAAGTCACAAACTGCATGTCATTCTAAGTTCTGGGTGCCATAATCTAATTTCGAAACTGAGAAATCTAAAAAAAATTGAAATCAATTCACAAAAAACATTGCAAATATCTAAACTTTAAATTAAAAAAAACATACATCAAAACCAAAGCAGAATATCTTGAGTCTAAAAACCAAACGATAAAAAATGTTGTAGAATAACAATTGGTTCGAAAGCAAAATAAGAAAATAGTAAAGCTGACAAAATATAAAAAGTGGCCTTGAGCTTGATGAGTGTGCTCCTTGTAGCTGTCTGCTAGGTGCTTATGCTACTGCAACTGTTTTGAACACTCCCCCTGAAAGCAAAATAAGAAAATAGTAAAGCTGACAAAATATAAAAAGTGGCCTTGAGCTTGATGAGTGTGCTCCTTGTAGCTGTCTGCTAGGTGCTTATGCTACTGCAACTGTTTTGAACACTCCCCCTGCTCTCTATCAGCAACTCAGTTTGAACTTCAAGCCACACCTTTTGGATCTGCAAGTACTAACAAGTGTAAGAACACTAAAGTTAACATTTTTCACAAAAGTGAATTAAACAAAGATGAAGCAGCTTCACAATAAGCTACAAAAGTATTCCTTATTGATGTATTTCATTACTTTTAAATATGCAAACTCAAAAAGTAATCAAAACTCAACAAAAATTTTGCATTCAATTGTTTACTAAACAGAGAATAAAACTCTATTGATACACCTAAGGGCTGGCCAGTAAGGGACCAAAACCACCCCATAACATATTAGTTATCTAGCTATATACTTATTTAGCGTGACCTGCAGAGATGGAAAACCAAATAAAATCAAATAAATAAATAAGACTCCCTTCTACACTTCTAATAAACTAGTCACACCAACCAAATCAAGTTGTAGGAATATGAAACTCCACTGTCCGAATGGTGAAAGATTATAGCTCCAACAAAATCTCAAGAACTGTGTGAAGAAAATAATAATTTAGTCCTGTAGAATAAACTAGGTCACGTGGAAGAAAATAAGTACTGATCTCTGTAAAGAGAAATATTAAATAATTAACTTATTGAATGATAATGACGATAAAAAAAAATTAAATATTTAAAGTCATACCATTTTCTGTTTCTTCACATTCTTTGTAAAATTCCACTTCTTCTTCGGTAGGCTCTTTGTAGAAGTTGAAGCCTTCAGCCCTGATCCAATCACTTGTACACACAAGGGCCTCTACCATCTTCGGAGTCAAAGATGTTCTAAATGGATTCACTATTCTTTCTCCCAAACTAAATGCATTTTCAGAAGAAACAGTGGAACAAGGCATTGCTAATACATCTTTAGCTACCTTTGCCAAATTTGGGTACTTTTCTGCATTTACTTTCCACCACAAGAGCAAATTGAAGGACTGGTTACAGCTGCCCTCACATGGATCACATAAGTAAGCATCAACCTCATTATTGATTTGAAAGATTTGGTCAGCTTGTTGTTGGTGCAAATAAGCAGCCCTCATTGCAGCTCTAGTATCATAGTTCTCATACTGTCCCACGTTAACATCATCAGGCCGTTCAGTAGCACTACTATGGGGTACCAGGGGCTCAAAGCATTTGTATGCTTCATAAAATTGCATTAAAATCTGCTTCACTTCGGTTGTAATGTTTTCAATGTTGGCCTTTGGTACTCCACATTTTTCAAAAAGAACTTTTTGGTATCCAAGTTTCCATCTAGGATCAAGAACATTAGCAATCACAAATAAAGGATTCACTTTCTCAAAAGAACCCCAATATTTATCAAACTTAAATAACATTGAAGCTGCCACTGCACCCTTCTTAACGGGGGATTATTGTGATCATTCATCAATTTTTGAATTTCAACTTGAATTGTAACCATCTCCTCAAACACAATATGAGATGTAGGGTTCTTAAAAGCACTCAACCTCAAAGTGGCATCATAAAACTTCTTTAAGAAGTAGACAAAAGCCTTGGCACGTTCCCAGTCTTCTGCTACTGGAGGTCCCTCCCTCAAATAAACTCCATTTTTATCTTTCTCAAAAAACCAATCACTATAAGGCTTATGTTCTTCTGCCATCCTATCAAAAACTTTAGAGAATTTTAACCCTCTATCTAGCATCTTATAAGTTGAATTCCACCTAGTGCACACATCCATACAAACATTTGCTGTCTTATCAAACCCTTCAAGAACTGCAAACTTTCTAAAGTTTTCTAACCTCAATGGAGAAGATTTAATAAACTTAATCGCATTACGAATGCTAACAACAACCTTATTCAGTTCTGTAAGCCCATCTTGCACAACAAGATTAAGTATGTGACAGCAACACCTAACATGCAAATAATTACCATCAAGTAGCAAAGTGTTCAACGACCTCATTCTCTTTGTCATATAACCGACTGCAGTGTCATTAGCTGATGCATTGTCTACGGTTATTGTGAAAATCTTTTTAATTCCCCGTGAATTTAAACATTCCTCTACAGCCCTCCCAATGTCATCACCCTTATGGCTTACAATTTGAGTAAAGTTCAGAATTCGTTTATGCAAATTCCAATCTTGATCAATAAAGTGTCCAGTGAGAACCATATAATTTATATTCTGAATAGAAGTCCAAGTATCGGTGGTAATAGAAACTCTAAGATTATTATCTGATATCATAGACATAATCTTAGTCTTTTCTATGTGAAACAAATCCCACACACCTTTCCTATTCATAGGCTTCCACTTAGGATTCAAAGAGAGACAAAATCTCCTAAACCCTCTTCCTTCAACATGAGAAAAAGGCAACTCATCCTCGAGTATCATCCTCACACATTCAAAATCACATACCTCTTTGTTGTATGAATAAGGTTTAGGCGAACCTTCTGTGCCAAGCGTGAGAAGTTGTTGCCCTTTCCCAATTTGTTTCGCCTCTAGTGAAGCTTTTGGACAATGCTTTTGAAGGTGTCTCAATAGGGCTGAAGTACCATTTCCATCTGGTGATGCCTTGAGCCTTTTTTTGCAATAGTTACAAGTTGCCGCCTCGAGTATATCTTTATCTCCCACTTTTTTTGTTATTTTCACCATATGACCCCAAACCTCCGAGCCTTTTCTCTTTTTCTCTGAAGATGGTAGGCTTTCATCACTGCCACCATTAGAGCCAGAAGGTAAACCTTGCGTAGACATCTAAAAAAACATACAAACATAAGGGAAATAAGTTAATAAATAAAAATTCTCACTGCAACTTCTGAGATTATGGAAGTTAACCTTGAAAAATTGAAATAATAAAATAATTATTAAGGCTATCAGTCTATCACAATCCAGTGATAACATGAACTATTAACTACTAATTACAGTTCTGTAAAAGAAGCAAAGTGATTCAAGTTTCCCAATTTGAGCAATATAAATTTATAACCAAATCGAGCATACAAATATTCAATAAATTGAACAAATTGAATCAGATAATGACTTATATAAAAATCAATTAGCAAAAACCTAAATAACAAAAAAAAAAACTCCATATACAGTGAGTGATTCAAGTTACCCTGTCTACAATAGGCAAAACAATCTGAAAATAGTAAAGCAATTAAATGGTACTCTGTAAATAAGTGAAGGACGGTTTTCATACTTTAGAAACAAGACAAAGAAACTGCTGCTTTGCAATTTGGTGAGGAGAAACTGCTGCTTTGCCGCTAAACCGTATGCCGTATGCTCTGATTGGTGACTGGTGAGTATACGATAGTATTATAGTATATATACTATGGATATGGAGTATAAATACATTAGTTATAGAATTCTACTAGGGTTGGCAAGGTAATGAACTGTGGGCCTGAGGCAGCTAATTAATACGGAGTATAATTATTACTCCGTAATTGCAAAGTAGTATACTCTGTATAAGGTATGAATGGTATGATGTATCAATATTTCATATGTATCATATATAAAAATATATATATTTTTTCATATTTAAATCGGGTTTTTTTCGGTCCGGGTCGGGTTTATAATTTTTGAACCCGGTTAAAGACCCGAATTTTCGGGCTCGGGTCGGGTTTTTTTACCCAGACCGGTGATTTTTAAAATTAAACCCGGACCGATGTCATTTATCGGGTTGGGTCGGTCCGGTTTTCGGGTTTCGGCTCGGTTTTTCCCAGCCCTATTGTTTACTCCGTATTGTTTAAGGATAACGTTTGTTCTCTAGCTCTATGTCTCTATCCTATTCCTGGCTCTACAAAACATATACTACGTACTACGTATTTTGTAAATATACTTTAGAAAAATAAACTAAAATCATTAAAAAATCAAATCAACCAAAAGATGTGAAAAAGTGAATGAAAAACAAATACCTATGTAGACTGTAGAGGCGAGCAGCAGAATTACTTGAAGGCGAGCTGGAGAAGTTCACAACTAGCGGGAGCAGACGGCGGCGGCAACAGAGAGCACCGAGAGCGGTCGGGAAGGGAATCTACAGCAGCGGCGCGGACAGCAGCAGCGCGGACAGCACTCGACGGCGGTTCAGTCGATTCTCAATCGTCGGTTGTGGGCGACGGCCGCGGCTGGTTCAGATCTCGATCGCGCAATAGAGTTGTGGGCGATCGATGGGCAGGGTAGAGTTGTGGGCGATGGGCGGTTATGTGGATTAATTTGGACTTTGGAGGCGCTTTTTGTCTACAAGCGCCGCACGCGTATTTAATTTCCGTCCGGCCCATCTATTTTTATTCGAGGCGCTTTGAGCCAGAAGCGCCGCACGCGAGGTTCAAATATTTAAAAAAAAAAACGTAAACGAATTGAAGGCGCTTTTGAGTAAGAAGCGTCGCACGGCTCATTAGTTTTTTAAATATAAATATAATTTCGGAATATTTTAGAGGCGTTTTATCATAAGAAGCGCCGCATGATTCTATAAAAAATATTAAAAAATAAAATTTCGACTAATAGAGGCGCTTTAACTTAAAAGCGCCTCTAACGAAGCGCCTCTGTTTGGCGTTTTTCCACTAGTGTTACCATATAATTTGTTACCTTATTTAATAGGGAAAAGTACAGAAAATGTACATGTGGTTTGGGCATTTTCAGATAGGGGCATGTGTTTCATTTTCTAACAAAGTGGGGTATGTGTTTTAATTCCGTTATCATAGCAGGGGCATGGCGTCTAACGTCGTTAGAAAAATTAACTCCAATTTTAAAAAGTCTTCGAAAAATTAAAAGAAAAATATTGGGAGGAGCGCCTCGTCAAGGAGATCAACAAACTATCTTCATCTTTGGATTTTTCAGCTCTATTTGGATTATTTTTTTAAAAACAAATTCGCTAATATCAATTTTCTAGTGGACTTTCTGGAGATATGGTGTCTGGAAACAAAAAATAAAGATAGTTTGTTGATCTCCTTGACGAGGCACACCTCCCAGTATTTTTCTTTTAATTTTTCGGAGACTTTTTAAAACCGGGGTTAAGTTTTCTAACGGCGTTAGATGCCATGCCCCTGCTATGATAACGGAATTGAAACACATGCCCCACTTTGTTAGAAAATGAAACACATGCCCCTACCTGAAAATGGCTCAAACCACATGTACATTTTATGTATTTTTCCCTATTTAATATTACATTTATTATTAATGTGATATGCCATTTTTATAAGGAGTAATTAATTAATTAATGCCTTCTAGCCAATCTAATGATCGTCGTAGCCATCACCTTTGCCGCCATCACTGCCACCGCAATAGTGAATCCATCAATTAGTGACCGCCCTGATCAGTGACTGCCACCACCACAGTCACTGCTCGTCAGGAGTGACTCCACCAATTAGTGACCACCGCCGCAACTGTGACTCCACCAATTAGTGACGCCTTGACCAATGATTGTCGCCACCGTTGTCACTGCTAGCTGGGAGTGACTCCACCAATTTAGTGACCGCCTAGTCTGGTGTTGCATTATTGAATCCACCAATTAGTGATCCCCTAGTCACTAGCAACCGCCGCCACCGATGACTCCACCAATAAGTGGCTACTCCGGACAATGAGTGTCGTCGTTGCCACAGTCAATAGACATTGTCGCCGCCCCGGTCAATGAAAGACCACAACGACCGCCTAGACCAAAATCACCGTTGCCACCTCGGCCAAAACCATTGTCGTCACCTCGGCCAAAACCATTGTCGTCGTCGCCCATGCCAAAAGATCATTGTCGCCGCCCCGACCAAAGACCACTTCCGTCGAGCCCGTCACTCCCCATTTGCATGGTCCAAAGCCCCATACACGTCCATCCCTCCAACCCTCGTCAGGTGAGAACAAAGGTGAAGAAGATGATGAGAGGAGTTGTGGCGGCGGCGAGGAGAGTAATAGAGTAGTTTTATTATTATTTATTATTGTGGGACTCCTATTGTAATTTTAACTCTTTTCACTATAAATATATCTGTCAGGGCTACCATTAAGGTTAAGTCTAGTATTATTCTCACATGGCATCAAGAGCACATATAAAAATCCCTAATTTTTTCTTCTCTCGGCTACGATGTCTTCTGCGCCAAATACATCTGTCGTCGTTGACTCCTCTGCGCCGGCCATCTCTTCAGCCGCTGCACAGATGACGTCGTCGGTGATATCTTCCTCCGACCCACAGCAGTGCCAGTTATCTCTTGTGTTGATTCAACCACACACCAGACCTCCGTTCTCTCCTCTCAGTCGATGTTTGCTTCTTCGGTCAGTAATCCTTTGCTCTCGGCGGCCCCTGCCTTCTCTCAATCATGGATGCCACTGCCCCGGCCCCTACGACGGATTTCAGCGCCTAGACTCCGACACCTCCTTCTGTCTGTCCGCCAGTGCAGCTCGTGCTCTCCAACGGAAGAAGACTCTCTTTGTATACTGAGTCTACTTCCAATTTTGTCGGCCCAACGTTTGCCAGGGCCCCAGGTATTACGCCTCTGTCTTCTCGTGATCCAATAGCTCCGAGGACTACCACTTCCAGTACAAGTTCAATTTTGACTGATTTAGATAAGAACGTTGGTTTTCTTCCCTTAATATTACCAATACTGTGACAACCAAACGGGCTGTTGTAGAGGATTATTTGTCTTGGCATACTCAATTTGAGTCTTTCCTGGTCTCCAATGGTTTTTTGGGTATTTTAGATGGTTCGATTCTTGCTCTTCCTCCCTATATTTTTATGTCTTTCATCATGAGACAATTAATCCTGATTATTGTAATTTGCCAAAACTTGATCAAACGGTGCGTTATTGGCTATTTGCTACAATGTCTCGTGATGTCTTAATTGAGGTGCATGAATTAAGGAATGCTTCTGCTATTTGGAGTCGGTTAGAGTCTCACTCTATGTCTGCTAGTCTTGCCTGATCCATGGAATTGAAACGTCAGCTGACCCACTCTAGGAAGGCTCCTACTTAGTCTATTGAGCGTTATCTTAGAGGCATTAGAATTATTGTTGATAACATAGCTTCGATTAATGTTCCTATTTCTCCTCGTGAACTGTTTCAAACTATTTTACTTGGTGTGGGCCGAGATTGCGAGTCTCTTATTACATCGGTTGGTCTGTTTCCGGAGAGCTTCACTTTTGAAAAACTACGCACCTGCTTGATTGAAAAGGAGCAAACTATTCAGTACATGTGTTCTCTGGAAGAACCTCATAAGGCTCAAGCATTTGCGGGTCAAGCACAGGCTGTAGGGCAGCTACCTTCACAAGGCGGCTAGCAGCACCGCGGGAGAGGATATCGCGGTCGGGGTGGCCACGGACATGGTTATCCTTAACATAGGGGGCTGATGACAGCGTGATCGCGGCTATGGACCACCTCAGCATGGTTATGGTTATCCTCCACAGATGGGTTATGGCTACCCTCCTCCACGCTATGTTCCAGGGGGTGCACCTCATGCGGGTATTCTTGGGGCTCCAAGCTCGACAGGTATGTCTATTCAGTCAAATGTTTATACTTATGCCTTATCGGCTTCTTGTACTAACCACAGTTATGCAGGCTCTTCATATGTTGAAGGGAACTTTGTCCCCCTCCTGTAGTCTGTCAGATTTGTTATGCTTCAGGTCATCCTGCCTCTACTTGTCCGTCTCGTTTTGTTCAGTCGGTTGCACCTGCTCTTGCTGCTCAAGCTCCTGAAGCTTCTGACATTGTGTGGTATCTTGACTCAGGTGCCTCTGCCCATATGAATCCCCATCCAGGTATTTTGTCTCATAAAACCTTTTCTCCTAATTCTCATTCGATTATAGTAGCTGATGGTACCTCTCTCCCTGTTATGCATACTGGTCGGGCCATTTTGAGTTCCTCTCCTCACCCTCTTCACCTAACATTTGTTTTTCATGTTCGTAATATTAAATATAATCTTTTATCCATTCAAAAATTATGTGTCGATAACAACTATGTTGTAACTTTTGATAAAAACTGTTTTTCTGTAAAGGACAAAACAACGAGGGCGGTTCTACTTCGAGCATTCAATGATATTGGTGTCTATCCCGTTCGCCAGCCTGCACCTCCATCTGTTTCCCTTTCTGTTATTTCTGTTTCCCTTTGGCATAATAGATTAGGACATTGTGGTACTCGTGCAGGCGGCGGCGGCGGCGGCGAGGAGAGGTGGCAGTGGGGGAGAGAAGGCTTTGAAGATGCGGCTCCAATGTAATAGAAAAAGTAAAAGCACTTTTGACGCGGAAGCCGAGAAAAATAAAAGTTGTAGTGTTTGGGAAAAATAAGTGTTTTTTTAAAGCCAACCCTAAACCAACTTGGAAGTTGAAATGGCATGATGATTATGAATTTATGATAAAATGCAAGAACACATTACATGAAAACCATCAATATACTGAATAATTCAGTCCTTTAGGATACATATATTAGTATGTGTATATAGGGAAAAATGAACAAAAAAATACATGATTGCAATGATACAAGCTTTGATCTGTGCAAGATGATCCAAAACTGTTAAACCCAGATGAGACTACAACAGTGTCCCACTCGTCAAGTAGCCTTCTTATCTGATCCTTTTAGATTAAGATTAAACCACTTTTTCTTGGAAGATTTGTCCTTGGATTCAGGGGTTCCATCATCCCCTGGGTACTCAGCTCTAGAATCATCACCAAGAACTTTGTTGCTGCTGCTGCTTCCATTATTAAAATGCCCACTACTTCCACTGCTAATGACCGACCTTGCAACAGTGAATGATGAATGGATGGTGTCTCGCTGTTTCATCAATTCATCCACCTGACAGAATAATTGCACTAGCAGTCATAAACATGTCTGAGAGAAACAACAAAATATTTAATCATAAGGACAAGTGAGTACGACTAATTCAAGCACAGGTTATTTGCAAATTATGCAAGAATTCAAAAAAATGGGTTTCAAATTTCAATGCTAAGTTGTTCATGGCCTCTTTTCCTTGACAGCATGAAGGGTGTTCTTGCACGGTAGGAACTAGGGAGTATAACATTAATAAATATAATAAAAAGGACGTCCTTGGGAAAGGTTTTACAGGGGTGTTAGACAAAGTGATAAAACTTACTGCCTGCTTCTCCTGTGCATATCTGTTGGTCACTTCCTGGAATCGTGCCAATGCCTGCAAAGTCAAATTGAGAAAATGCTCTCTTAGAGTATGTACGTGCGGGGGAGCAAAAGTACAATTTAGAAGAGATGGTCTGCCTTTCTGTATTCAGTCTCAAATTGTCGAAGCTCATTTCTCTTCCCCAAAATCTGAGATTCAATATCCTTCAGCTTGCTGGTTGTATCCTCATATGTTTTAGCACAAAGAGCCTCAATTGTATATGTAGCAGGTTTGAAGAAGTTATCTCCTGTAGCATTACAAAAGTTTAGCTTTAGCAACACTACACCAATTAATCCTTATAGAGTTGGTAAAAAAAATGAATCCCAATATACGAAAGGGGGAAATAGAAGAAACAAGCAGCTCGGACCATAAACAGCGAATATGTGAGTGCCAGCTTTTAATTCTGAGACCTCACAAGGTTGAAGACCTTCCAATCTCTTAAAAAAAGCAGCATCTGGATCCTTGGCCATTGCTAGCTACAAAAGATGCTTATAGTTACGATAACGAAATCCCCCCCTCCCCCCAAAGTTGTTTTCAATCAATATTAATCAGGAAAAAATGATGCATACCGCATTTACTGTTGAATCCATCCTATAAACCTGGAAATGCAAAAAATACATTCCAGCCGATGTTGTCTTGCCAGTTTTTTCACTGTCTTCCTGTGTTTATTGACTATGAATCAGATTAACCAAGCCCAGACGTCAATGCCAATAATGGGCTAAGTGAAGCATGCCTCATAGAGCATTAGAGATAGAAATTTACCACAAAGATTCCTGTTATTTATTTATTTGAAAAAAAATGAGGAGTAATCAATATTTTCAAAAAACACATAAATTCAGCATCAACTGTTCACCCATGATACAATTCAGATTTTGTTAAGTTCTACATTATGCATACCGCAACAGTTTTTCTTTTCTTCATTCAGCTATTATGATATTCATTCATAATCCACTACTGAATACGAGCTTTTAAATTTTCAGGTAACTCACATGGCAAAGTCATGACATACTAATCAGTACCTAGAGGTTTCTACTTTCCAATTTATGCCCTTTTACTCTACACATCATGAGTTGTATGTGTTGGCATACTAGGAAGGACTGCTTGAGGAATGAGACAATAACACAAAAAAGTGGGAGTAGCGCCTATTGAAGATAGCATTTGAGTCTTAGTTGCGGTGGTGTGGTCGTGTGTACATAAGGCAAAGTGATGCATCGGTTAGACGGATTGAGAGGTGGGGAGAAGAGAAAGGGAAAAGTCCCCAGATAGACGTAAATTAAAGTGGTCAAGAATGACATGATACTATCTGGTTAGATGAGATTTGGAGAGGGAGAATTTGAGGGAGTATATATGGAGAATTGATTTGTCCCCTTTCCTTTATCTAATGCATATTTTAAACTTCAATATAATATGTCGGTTCTTGGAAGCCAACCCCAACCTCTTTTGGGAACAAGGCTTGGATGTTATATTCTACATATCATGTAGGTGCTTATCACTTCTAATCCATTTAGTTTTAGTTTTAATCTGCAATGCTTAAATCACTTCCTTCAGTGATATTCCAGTAAATTCCTATTGGACAGCATTTGTTGAGGAGATGAAATTGTGCGTGGATTTTAACAGATTACAATGAAGTAAGTGCGGCTATGAGCTTAATGTTCAATTTCCCAGGCTCCAAACCCAAAGGTATCTTACTATGAATCTATGATACTATCTAGCCCTATACTACTCTCCGCCAATCCCAAAATGGATGTCACATAAACGTCAAACTGCATCTTCTTGACTTCTTTATTGCCTTATTTTCTTGGAAAAGAATACTGATTAAATAGCGCCAAATTACCCTATTTTTACAGAGCCTTAATACTTGAATACTACGTATATAGTAGATTATATTTACTAATACTAAATTAAATGGGAAATTGGAATTAAACGGAGAAAAGCTTCGTTATACGAACCAATCATTTTGATGGAGGTGTATAAATTGGTGATTATGATACAAACAGAAAATGACACTTAAGTCCTCCCTAAGGTAGTCAAATTTGTGAGGCGCACTCAAGGTGCTAGAATAGTCATATTGCCTAGGCGCAAGGCGTAAAAAACGCTCACCTGACTCATGTCAACCGCACTGCTTAGCAAATATGATATATTCAATATTATATTGAACTAAATTCATTAAAGAAGTCATATTCATCAATCATCCTTAAAACTAAATCCTAAATTTAGTTACTCCGTATATTCTAGCTTAGTTCAGCTAAAAGAGGAGACCATATTCTATTAGCAATATTACTTTCAGCTTTCTTGGCAACATTTGAAGTTTCACCTTCCATATACTACAAAAGTATAAATAAATAAATAAATAAATAAATAAATAAATAAATAAATAAATAAATAAATAAATAAATAAATAAATAAATAAATAAATAAATAAATAAATAAATAAATAAATAAATAAATAAATAAATAAATAAATAAATAAATAAATAAATAAATAAATAAATAAATAAATAAATAAATAAATAAATAAATAAATAAATAAATAAATAAATAAATAAATAAATAAATAAATAAATAAATAAATAAATAAATAAATAAATAAATAAATAAATAAATAAATAAATAAATAAATAAATAAATAAATAAATAAATAAATAAATAAATAAATAAATAAATAAATAAATAAATAAATAAATAAATAAATAAATAAATAAATAAATAAATAAATAAATAAATAAATAAATAAATAAATAAATAAATAAATAAATAAATAAATAAATAAATAAATAAATAAATAAATAAATAAATAAATAAATAAATAAATAAATAAATAAATAAATAAATAAATAAATAAATAAATAAATAAATAAATAAATAAATAAATAAATAAATAAATAAATAAATAAATAAATAAATAAATAAATAAATAAATAAATAAATAAATAAATAAATAAATAAATAAATAAATAAATAAATAAATAAATAAATAAATAAATAAATAAATAAATAAATAAATAAATAAATAAATAAATAAATAAATAAATAAATAAATAAATAAATAAATAAATAAATAAATAAATAAATAAATAAATAAATAAATAAATAAATAAATAAATAAATAAATAAATAAATAAATAAATAAATAAATAAATAAATAAATAAATAAATAAATAAATAAATAAATAAATAAATAAATAAATAAATAAATAAATAAATAAATAAATAAATAAATAAATAAATAAATAAATAAATAAATAAATAAATAAATAAATAAATAAATAAATAAATAAATAAATAAATAAATAAACAAATAATAAAACTTGAGAGAAGAATACATGTTCTTAAAATATACAACATATTAGAAAAAAGAAACAAAAATAAAAGGAAAGAACTTGTTGGGAGAATAATAAATCAGACGAAGGTAATGACAGAAAATAGGAAATAAAGATATTGAATTTTAAATGAAAAGATACAAATAAAGCAAGAAGAAATAGACCATACTGTAAGGATAGAAAATACAGGAAATAAGATAAAATGAAGAATTGAATAGAACAAGAAGATGAAGACAGAAAGAAGAAACATAATGAGGAAGTTACCATTTATGTGGGATGTGAGTCGAACACGGGGTTTATGTTGTTTTACTGTGTTATTTGGATGGGCTAAATCTTACTCCATACAGTAGTAATATATATAGGTTTATTTAAAATAGGCCCTAATCTTATTGTGTGATAGGCATGCGCTTCTGCGCCTCTGCTCTTCTTGCGCCTGAGGCATATCATTGTACCTGGAGGATTATAAAGCGCTACCCATGTTCAGCGCCTCGCCTGGTGCGCTTTTGACTACACTGAGTCCCCCAATAGCTCTTAGTTATATGTGTCACACTCATAGATACATAAATCGCTCAAACACCCGCGAACTGCGTTCCGAACGCCGCGTACCTAATCACGGTACGAAAGTGTTCCAAACGCTAATCGGATCGCAGTGTAGAACGCTTCACCGGTCGATCCCAATCACTGCTCTAGTCGTTCGCCATCCCTGCCCAGGTCGTTCCCAGCTGCAACTGGTCTCGACCACGACTCCATCCAGAACGCACTAAATCGCAAACTTCGAACATTAACAATCGCAGACCTACCAATCGCGAACAGACTCATCATTTGCTGTGCAGATAACCTGTGCGACTTAGCCTCTTCGACTTAGCCTCTTCGATTTAAGAAACTAGAGGACTTAGCCTCTTCGATTTCTGCTCCGGGTAATCAAAATTACGAACTCTTCACTTGTCTTCAACTCTTAATTTCAGCGACTTCTTCTGGAACATTAATGTTTATTTTATTTTGCTTAATGTTATGTTATGACTTATGATTATGAAATCTGCTTTTTATTAATGTTATGACTTATGAAATCTGAAATTCAGTTTTATTTTAGTACCAAAATATAAGATACAGTGTACCGATTTACCAAACATGTTGTACAGCGTACCAAACGCATACCGGAATGAACCTACCCCCCTCCGAACCGGATACGCAAGATCTACCGAACCACGTTCCCGATCCTCGTTCCCGTACCGAAGCGTTCCACGAACTATGTGATAGGATCCTCCAATTATCCAGAACAATTAACAGAAATTTAACAAGAAATCAACTGAAATTCTTTATTGAAGAAGATGAACAGTACAGTAACCTAGGCCAAAGCCTCCCAAAAGAGAAGAGAAAAGAATCCTCTAATCTTTCCCAGTCCCAGACTAAAAGTCCCAAAAGCCTCCCTAACTCCTCCCATCTCTCTTCTATTTATACTAACTAATACACTTATTGGTTTATACTCTAATAGGCCCGGTCCCTTATTATTATTATTAGTCTATTAGGCCCGGGTTCCTATCAATACTCCCTCTCTAAACATCCACCTTACCCTCAAGGTGGGTGATAGGACACCGCCACAATCTTCTTCTTTCCTTTCATCCTAGCACCTCTCCCTTTCCAATACTGGATGGATTTCTGGATTCTTAGCTCAGCTGCTTCCATCTTCTTCCCTATGCCTTTCAAAACAGATTTACACCGCTGCCAGGAATTTTTGTCCAGAAATTTGACTCTTTCCGAGTCCTTGGAGGTTAGGGCCCAGCCATCTGCAACACCGAGTACATCAACTTCCTGCTCTTGAACATTTCCTTCTGAAATATCGATATATAACCCATGAGAATTCAGTAATTCTCCTTCTCCTTTAGTATTTATCATCCCCTTCATCTTCTTGTCAGTTTTCAGTTCTCTTAATAAAGGATCTCCGTGTATATTTGCCTTCTGCCCATGTACCTCCCATTGAATGGTCTGATTCTGAAAGTTAACTGCCATATCTCCTAGCCCAGTAAGCCATTCCATTCCTAGAACAATGTCAATTCCTCCTAGCTCCAACATATAATATGTTTGTTGAATGGAAACTCCCTGCACATTCAGTCGCAATCCTGCACATTGGCCCATATTTGGAATGCAATCTCCATTTCCTATTTGTACCTTATACCCTTGAATAGGGTGATAAGGTATATTCCACCTTTCAACCAATTCTTGTGACAGAAAATTGTGGGTGGCACCACTATCAATTAAAACATTCACCAACGTTCCACCAGCTTGCCATTCTGCCTCACCTCTTACTTTGAAAGTTTTCATGGAAGGTATCCCTTCCTTGC